AAAGCATAATTGGGCCCTACACAGCAACGGGAATTTCATAGACTGGTGAAAAATAATTACCACTGTAGAGTCACATGTCTCCAGTTAAGGACAGGTTTAAGGTTTATGTATCAGAGGTTGATCACACAATTAATTCATTGCCTGGCTTATTTTTTTCAGGGAAGGGGGTGGGGAGAAGGGACACTGGGGGGTTGCTGAATTGCTCTTTCTGTCATGAAATGAAACTGAGCAGCAGAGCATACATGTACAAGACCTTGCATACAAGCCGGGCAATGAATTCCACTTAAACAGGCAAACCGTGCTATAGTGGTAATTACTCCAGTCTAACTAGCAACCCTAAAAAGTAATGAGAAGTCCAAAGCCATTTAAAGGAAATGTCATTGTCAAGGCTTCATTTTCCATTGGAGATAAAAATAAGATTGGGGAGAAAATGGAGAGGAAAGGGAAGAGGAGGAGGAAACTGCTGTATTTTCTTCAACGTCGCCCTGATCCGTGTGGGTGTCAAGGATGAGAAAGGCGGGGGGGTATGACATCACTGCTACATGCAACATAAATATTAAAGAAAAGAACCAAACTACTAAACAAAACAAAACAAAACAAAAAAACTCTCCGCTAGAGAAAGACAGGTTGGACCGCACTCTGGGCTACAGGGAACCCGTTTTTACTCACAATAGATCACTATCAGTGTGCAGTTAAAATATAGTAGGGACCGTGTTCCAAGGCAGCAAAGAGGAAAAATAAATCAAAAATTTGTCAATTTTCACAGGTTACAACACATTCCTTTAAAAAACATCAACGTACACACGCTCTGTCCCTCAGGGGTTCAGCCCCCACCCTTTGCAGCAAGCAAGTGGCTGGAAAAAATTTATAGAGAATTAGACAAGAGTTGTTATACAGAATGAAAGAAAACAGAAAGTGTGAACTGTCCGGCTTAGAGATTTCATCCCAGCGTGGCTGTATTTAGTATATATGAATACACATTTGGCCCTTTGCTGAAAAGCTACAATGAAATTAAATAAGAAAGAAATTGAAAACATAAGCTAAATATACAACACGATTATCAATGGCTTGTGAATAGAATTTATAGATTTCTTTTTGGACAAGGAGATGTGAACATTTACAGATTGTTCAGGCAGTTAGGAGAGGAGGGAGAAGAATGGATAGCTGAAAACTGTGAAAGGAAAGCATAGTTACTTTAATTATCCCTAGCCTTGTGGAGAAGCATAGTTCTTACTTGAATTATTAATACTAGGCCTAACAGGTTTGGACAAATGGCTATGTAGGTCAGGCTCACTCCTAGACCCTGACAATACCACCGTTAATATTCAGACAATATCTAAAGGGACATGAAACCTCAGATGCATTATTAAAGAACATGGCTTTCAACTGTCCCAGGAAGCTGCATGTAATTAATGCCATAATAATTAAGATTTCTATGTAAAGAAGACATTCTTTCACATTTCATTCACCTGTACATGCTGATAGTTTTATCTTCATTCCTTCATTTTATCTTACATGTCATCTGCACTCCACTGTTTCTCATTTTGATTATGTTGCTCATTAATGTTAAAAAAAATATATCTGATATGTTCACAGTGTCGTCAGAAATTAAATAGACAGCCAGGTCCCACCAATTTAGAAGGAAATGATTTTAGTGTAATTTCTACTTTGTTTTTAGCAAGAATGTGTTTTTAAAGAAACAATTTGGGCACCAAAGACAGGCAAGATTTCCAAAGGTGATTAGTGATTTTGAGGGCCAAAACTGTGATACCTTAAAGAGGTAGATGTACAAGACTCCCTATGAAGGTGTCTCAAAGTTGGGTATCCAAAAATTTCTTGATTAAAAAAAATAACTAGTCACCATTGAAAATCATGTGCTCTATGATTCACTGATTGACAGGACTTTAAACAAAAAGCTACTATATTATTGCTAATAATTATGAACACAATGTTACAAGCTGGTGTGTGTGCATGTGTGTGTGCGACAGAGAGAACAAACTAAGAGAACATTCTGAATAAATATTAGATTTTCCCATCTTTGTCTTCACCTCCACTCCCCACTTGACTTGGAGCACTGAATGCCAAAGGGGTAATCTTCCATGTGGTGGCTCTGACAGGCTTCTTCAGCCTCACTAACTCCATCATTTCATTCCACATCTGTCCAACTCCCTTTTATGCACTGGACTGATGTGTGTGACCACGTCGTTGGGAACATTTCCTAGTGCTACATGCAGACGTTGTCAATCTAGCCCTGACGCAACCTTACCCCTGTTTTATACTGTGTTCGCTGGTCTCTTTCCAAGAAGTCTTCTCCTCCCTGGCTTGCATATATTATGCCATTTCAGGTTTCCAGCCTTTCTATCATAGTTGCTAGTTAATTAGTATCAATATATTTGAGTTAAATGTGATACAACAATATAGGTCTCCCATCCAAACGATACCAAGTCTCTGGGAGAATTTGGTAGAAGCCTAGACATGAATATATCATGGTACTACAGGTATAAAAGGTTGGGTGGGGCAAAATAAGAATATATAACTGGCACCCCCGCCCCCCGCTGGTAACATGTTCCCCTTCTCTCTGGGAAATCCTGGGGGGAAATTAGTTTTGTGAGAACCCAAAAGCATTTTTAACTTGCTTGACCCGAACTTACTCAGCAGTCTCGCTGACCTTGTCAGAAGTTCTAGGGTCACAGTCACACATGGATAAGCAGTTCTTCAACAATTTTTATCAATCTGTTAGGCAAATGCATGCATTCCTTCCACATCAGACATGTGTATCTTTGTTCTCTGTGATTGGGTCTTTTTTTGGAAGAGATTTGAAAGGAGAATGACAGCCACAACAGTCACAGTGAATGCAAAGTACATGGAAATCAAAGTTTCTCTATTATTTTCTTATGATAGCATAATAAAAATGGCGGAGAAGAGGAAGGTTGCCTTTAATAATATTGTTCTCTCTCAATAGAGTCCTTAAAGAATTATCTGGTTTGGGTTGAGGATAAGCACTGTTATACTGGTGTGTGTGATGTCCCTCTGTCATTTTGGCATTTGGAAGAAAAGGCTAGAATGGACCCAACAGCATTGAGTAGGCCACAGTATTCTGGGAATCATAAAATAAGAGGAGCAGAAGCATGGGCAACCTCTGCTGAGAGTCTAAACCACCTTTCTTGTGACTCTAAACAGGATCTCTGCACTTCATGTGCTTTTTAATGGCAGATCATCATGTAAACCATAGAAAGTGTACACACCAGAGTTAAATCGGTAGAGAGAAGGAATCCCCACACAGTTGAAATCTATACTACAAATAGTGCCCCAGAAATGGATTTGACCAATGAAATACAGGCAGTTCCTGGGTTACGTACAAGATAGGGACTGTAGGTTTGTTCTTAAGTTGAATCTGTATGTAAGTCAGAACTGGCGTCCAGATTCAGCCGCTGCTGAAACTGATCAGTTTCAACAG